ACAAAAATATTACACAATAACACTTTACATGAACAACATTGCATGCCTAGCCCCAATCATATATCTACCCTTCTATGCAGTCTCCATTGCATCTTTGTAAATGTTATCTTTCTGTGACAAAGGAATTGGAAAGCATCCATCTACCACCCTTTTGTAAATGTTAGCAGCAACATGCTTCATTTTTCAGGAACTCATGTTTTTCAATCTGTTGCAGCATGAGTAAATAGCATAAATTAGCCACCAGAAAAAAGGAACTAGACAGCAAAGTGAAGAAATTCTATAAAATGAAGCTCTGTGCATGGGCAATGTGGTCGATGTTATCATGGTAGTCAGTTCATCCATAGAATATGTCATAATCCTCCTCATCTACATAGGTCTCATTAAGAGTTTCATTCACAGTACAAACAATAGTAGTTGATATGGAATGCAACAACGTTGGTGACATCATTAACGAGACCAGGGTACTTTGACTTATAGACATATAGCTCCACATTACTTAAATTCGACAATAACATGTTTGATTTGCATGTGATCTGAAGCTTATCACTAATGATTCGTGACAATGGCGATAGACTAATCAAGTAATTGACGAACATTATGGTCATGATTCAACTTTATAATGTATAATCGCTCCAAATAAGAACGGACACAAAGAAGTGAAGATGATTGACTCGACAATATTCGAGAATGAACCAACACAAAAACATTAGTAAACATATTATTTCATACATGTTAATGCGAAACACACGTGTGATGTTTGGATGACACATGATTTGACATGTGGAACTATTACGTATCCAGAAAAACTAACTTGAACTATCGGTCTTAACAGTTCATCTGTTGAGAACGATAGGTCATTTCAACAGAAGACTAAACTCAGTTGTCGGGAGTCATCTCATCTATCGAGAGTTATTGTGGTGTTTACTAAAGTTGCCATTTCTGAACTGTAATGAAACTATCGACAAATCTACATTTGACCTCTACTGCACTAAAAATGATGAAGTGAAAGGTACGAGAGAATTCATAGATAATATTTCATACACAATATTGCAAAATTTGTGAATTCCTAAAATTACTGCAATGAAACAACGAATCAATCGACGGCGGAAGGGAAAATAATCATGCTAGTAACCAAAAAAGTTTGTGAATGAGTAAATGATGCCATCACAATAATTACTTATTAGTTGTTTGTGGAAAAAATCATCCTAGTGTTCTTTTTGAACCGAACAAAATAAACAAATTATTGCTCCATCGAACGGTTAATTCGAATAAGTTCGATGTAAAGTTTAGGTACGACATACTCGACAATATAAATTTAATAGGTTGTGACGATGAGATAAGAGATATGTCCAAATAAATCATTCATGTTGTACGTATATATATGACAGTCCAGACTTCCCCAAACGAAAAGCTTTATATATTATGTAGACATTGAAGAAGCATTGAATGTTAGAAGCTGATAAAGTGGATGCGAAAGGAAACTGTTATGAATGTAGTAACATAAGTTGTAAGTAAAATACCATTTTCAAACAAAAGTAGCTAGCAAGGAAACATAAAACACTATTGTAAACACAAGGATGGATAATTCAAATTTTACTTTTCAATGTAAATCGGCCAAACGAAACAAAGTAAATTACAAATTTTCCAGAAAGTGTGATCCTCACATGCTCGAACCAAATGGAATGTTCGAAGTAGAATGATTATCATGTCTCCGAACATTCACCACAACTTCAAATTCGAAGTACCAAGTCAAAAATCGACCCCCTAAACATTATTGACATGAAAGAAGAGTGAGAAATACGAACAAAAGACACATCATCATGACTTATATAAAATTGTCAATGTTCACCAAAAAACCTTTAAACCATATTGTACGACCTATAATATTGCTACTAACCTAAATTTAAAAATTTAATCTTTTATTATTTGTTAACTAGGAACAATGGCAAAGTGATGACCTAAATGTCTATAACTTCAAGAAAAATCTATTTTTGAGATACCTATGAGGAAATTTGTGTATCGCATAATTTGTATCGTGAAACCCGTATGGATAAATAGACGTACACACAGGGATGCAATTGCAGTGCATGGCAGGATCATACACGTTACGTAGCTCATAATCAAGACGTGCAATTAGGTTATGACACAACAGAGAATCCTCGTATATTTTTCTTTTCCAACTTCCACAGCACACTATTCACGCAACATTTGCTTCTTCCCCAATGTGTTAATCTACATTGAGAAAATCCTAAAGCTTTAGAACATTTATATTTAGTAACCACAAAAGTTCATTTTCCTTCTCAATTGTTTCTAATTATAACGTCACAAACTCCCGATCAAATGTCTTACCTATTCCTCTTTTACTTCATGATTTTGCGAAAGACCCTAAAGTTCTTTTCAGCTCTCTATTTCCAATATATAGAAAATCTTCATCTTGCACCGTAGAATCAGAATCATAATTGAATCAAAATTGATGAAATTCTTAATTTTCGATGGCAATTTCCCCTTTTTATTAGACAAAACTTCACACCACCATTGAAAGTTACTTACGAGATCATATTTAGGGGCCATAGCATCCTCCAAATTGCTCTTAACCTACAATGTAGATTAATCCTGCTACACCTGAATCTAAAGTTTTAGTCAATATTAACCAATCTAGAGATTCTATCAAACCTTGTAATAATGCAATTAAACTTTTCTATCTAATTAAGAAAATGTCTAACTGAATTTAGCAGAATGTACAAATTTAATGACTGATTGCACATTGCTTTTTCATTCTGACAAGCTTAGCTTACTTTCAAAACATATAGATGCAAAAGCTATTTAATGTGATCAATACAACAATACTTCCAAATTTAAATAATAAACATAATTCCCAAGGAGCTCACAAAAATTTCATTGAGAGCATATCTTCAGTGCAGATTATCAAGAATACCCATCTCATTCAAGAAAATTACTTTGGTCATGTTATCCACTTCTTCATGGTCCACCTTCGTATCCCACAAATGCAATTTATCGAGCACCACCAACACCTATTCCAAAAATTCAAATTAAAACCAAAATTAACCCAATTCATTTTTTTTGGGCCCAATTCACAAAAATCAAAACAATAAAAATTCAAAAGAAATCACCTTTCTACCGGAGACTGTCAAGAGTTGAACTTGTTTACGAAAAAAAAAATTGATTACCTCGGCTGCTACCCAAGCCAAATTCTTATATTCCACCCACACAGTCAATTGAGCACTTGAATGATAGATTATGTTTGTATTTTTTGTGATCTTCGTCAACAATAGACATTTTCACGTGGCCGTCGACAGCAACTTCAATAGGGTGGCCAAATCAAATGAGTGAGGAAAGTGGCTTTAGGTTTTCTTTTGGGCAGTAGATGTTTTGAATAGAAGGAAATGGTTTGTTTTTCTTGCTTTTGGCTTATGTTCCAACCTTCTTTTTTAATTCTCAAATGCACTTGATTTCTTCCCTGCCATCTGCACACTTTTTGTGCCATTCCATCATTTAGTCAAATCTCATTTAATGGACATGTTATGTATTTAAATTATCTAGAGGGGCAAAAATGTTCAAAATTGACAATTTTGTAAGGACTTTAAAAAAGTGATATTTTTGTAAATGCAAACCCAAAATTTGATATCTAGTGTAATTTTCACTCAAAAGATTTAAGGGGAAAGAAGATGTTATCCAAATCCAAATTTTCCTTTGCTCGCCAGTTGTATATCATTTTGGTAGAATAATGGTATGTACATTCATGATTCAACTTCACATAAAAAACAAAATAAATATTTCATCAATGAGAATAAAGGAAAAAAAATTTACGATGTTTTTTCTTTCTTTTCATGAAAAACATAAAACCGGTGGATAGATGTAATTACGATGAAACTACCACATTGGGATGAGGTCAACTTGAGTTGGGGAACATCAAGTCTGTTCAAACCCTTTTTGATCTCATCAGAATAAAAATGACATACTTATTACGAATGACTATGATATCAGGAAATGAACATTATCGATTCCACAAGAATGCAAGAAGATGTACGTGCAAAAATCAAGTGAGCGGACAAGCCAGTGAGAATTTTCCTTAGAAGACGTACATGCAGAAATCTTGCGAGAGGACAAGCCAATGACAATTTTCCTTGTCTTACTATAGTGAGATAACAATAGATGTTGCAGCAATTATGATACAAAGAATAGTTTACTTCTTTTCTTCTATGAATCTTGCATGTTATTTAATGCACTTTTAGTCTGTTTTGCAAGATTTTTGAAAATTCAAAAATTACTTTTGAGATCAAGAAATATCTTTTGAATATATTTGGACAATTGTTATTTTGTTCCCCAAAACAAATATATTTAAATAAATGTGACAATGTTGTTATAGTGTCATATGCATTTGTATACTAGTAATATTAAAGGACATTGGTGGATGAAGTTGGAAGCGGATGAGGATAGAAAAGAATGTCCGAGTCTGACAGGATGTCAAAAAAGCTGGAACATACATAATCTCTCAATTGAAGACTCACACTAGCTAAAAATAAAGATTAAGATTCATGTCTACCTCCAACATTTCCATTACAATAACTTGTGTCATAATTTCTCCTAGACAAATGAGAGCCAAATGTTAAATTATAGTACATGTGTTGGTTACACGTGCGAAAGTGTCAATCTAGACTCACTTGAAGTCTGAAGACGTTTGTTTGAATGTCATATCTGGATACTTTAATAAAATTTAATTTCATGTCGAATATATAAATAATTTTATGCCAATATTATTATACAGTCGCCTAGTACCGAGGTTGCATTGTCATTCGAAGATTAATTAACACGCAGACAGACAGAGATTAATAAGTTACTAAAAAAGGCACATCTGTAATAAAATACTAAAATGTCATAATCCAAATCCTCTAATCATTATATAAATCTGAAGGCGTGGAGAAAGGGTTAGAGAACTGATATTTTCACTCCATGATTAAATGACAATTATATCCTTATCGGTGTCATCTCCAGTCCCCTGTTCTACTCCCTAAAAGCGTGTAAAAAAATAAAAACTTTTGTCCTACAATTACTATCGTATTAGTTCTAACCGGAGAAGATTGGAGTACAAGGAACGAGAGAAGAACCGAACCTGAAGTGTCTGTATCAAAATTGAAGGGTAAATATATGCGTAACTACCAACTACGGCGAGAAAGAGAGACTGGGCTTTACTGTTAACTGAAGTTCATCATATTGAAAAGGTAAATTCTTTAGCTCAATTAAAGTCGAATGTTTACTCCACTCATTTTCTAGAATTTCGATTGTTCTATTTAGATCTCTGTATAGGAAGATTTCGAGTAGACCGTTTGTATTTGAATTCTACAACTATGATTTATTTTGCTTTACTGTTAAGTATATTTGTCAAAATGATTAATATGGATTTGCAATTTGATGCATACTTGTTTGGTAGTTTGATTGTTTCTCTTTCTTTTTCAAAACAAAATTTAATTTATTTCCAAGCGCCCTCGATTATGATAATAATTTACAAAATTGGATGCTTAATTATTTTAGGAATTTATGAGTTAACTATTTAAGAACGTTTACAAACAAGTTTTAACCGGCTATGCACTGAACTATTGTTGGAGGTCGGAATCTTTTCATTTTCACATGAAGCAATTATTCCTAGAAGAGATAAAATTAGAAGGAAAGGCAAAAGAGAGATTATTAAAAATTCACTTCTGTAATCTGTTGGTTCAACTGTATTGAAAGATTTTTATTTTAGCAAGTTTAGCTAGGAATAACGTGGGCTTGTATCTAGATCATAGAAAATGGAGGGATGATTGGAGGTCTTTGCTTCCATTCTTTCTTTTATTTAGACTTTTCTATATCCCTATCTATGATATTTCTTTATTCTGCGAAAACATATCTTGCTTTCAAAGTTAAGCTTTCCCCACCCAATCCTGTCTTCTTTAATAAATTCTAGAGTTGATTGTCCCATAAATTTTGTGTGCAACGAGATGTGTTTCCTCTAATTAGATTTTCTCCAATATTACTCCTGATAATCTAACAAATTGAGTCAAATCAAATCAGGATTTCATGTTGTTTTCTTTCCCAAAAGAGGTACTCCAGCAAGAAGATAGAAATATGAAACGTTGGTTGTTTTCGTTGGAACCTGATAATATTGTTGAAATAGAGAAGTCTAGAGAAAAGAAAGAAAATATATGAAGAGAAACTGTATTTCCGTCTGTGTTCTATAATGTACAGGAGCAGTCTTTATATGGTAGAGAGAGGCTGACTAAAACAATTGTGCCAATTTGTTTGATGGAGAGTATAGATGGAAAGTGCCCTCCTGCAAGTGATGAAGCACAAAATGACAATCAATCTCGATGTGTTTGATGCGCATATAGAAGACATCATTGTGAGCAATCTGAAAGGCACCATGATTGTCACAATAGATAGGGATGCTAGATTGTAGAGAAATATCCACATCCTGCAGAAGCCAACGGAGTTGGAGAAGCTTGGAAGTGGTGTCACTCAGTGCCCGATACTCAGCCTCAGTGCTGGAACAAGCAACTACTATTTTTTCTTGCTCCGTTAAGAGATAAGGGCCAATAAAAAAAGGAACCCAGTGATAGACCATTGATCAATAGAATCACCTGTCCAATCAGCATCGGAATAAGCGTGTAACGTTGGCGAGGAGTGGGAAGAGAAGTGAAACCTATAGAACAAGGTACCTTTCACATAATGAAGAATTCGAAGAACTGCTACATAATGAATAGAGTGAGGAGCAGTCATAAACTGGCTAACAAGATGGACAGCATAGGCAAAATTCGGTTGTGTAACAGTAAGATAAATAAGGCTCCCAACAAGTTGTCGGTAAAGGATAACATTATGAGGGGGCTCTCCATCAGTAGCACGAAGTTTGAGGTTAGACTCGATGGGACTATTAGCAGTTTTGCAATTCGTATGACCAATACGTGATAGTAAATCAGAACCATACTTGGCCTGAGTGAGAAAATAGCCATAGGAGGAATGAGACACCTCTAATCCAAGAAAGTAACTGAGAGAATCAAGATTTTTCATTTCAAAATGCTGACTAAAACTGCTTGAGCTCATCAATACTAGAGATCGTTAACAGTAATAATCATGTCATTAACATAAAGGAGAAGAATAGAAATACCAGCAGTAGTATGGCGAGTAAAAATTGCATAGTAAAGAGAGCTAGAAACAAACCCCAGCTGGGTAATGGTAGAGCTAAATTTCGCAAACCAAGCTCATAGAGCTTACTTGAGCCCATATAGTGCCCGTCAAAGACAACACACTTTACGAGGTGGATGTGGATACCTTGGGGGAGGTTGCATGTATACCTCCTCAACTAAATCATCATGCATGAAGGCATTCTTCACATCCATTTGGAAAAGAAGCCACTAGCAGGCAGAGGCCCTAGCCAAAAGAGAGCTAACAAATGTAAGGAGATAGGGGCAAAGGTCTCCTCATAGTCAATTCCATACTCCTGAGCAAAGCCCTATGACACAAGACGTGCTTTATGCCATACCTCAGAACCATTAGAGTTAGTTTTGATCTTGTAGATCCATTTGCACCTAACTGCAATCTTTCCAAGAGGAAGATCCACCAACTCCCAAGTATGAGTTTTATGAAGTACATGAAGATCTTCAGACATAGCTTTTGCTGCCAATTTGGGTTAGAGGAAGCCTCACGATAGGTGCGAGGTTCATGTAATGAAGCACGAATAGCGTAACAATGATAGTCACAAAGGTGAGTGGGAAGTTTTCTTACCCTAGTAGAGAGACGAATGGGTGAAAGCATAAAGCTCGAAAAGAGGTCCAAAAGGGGATAACTCAGATGAAATGGTAGAAGGACCTACAGGGACCAGAGTCGATAGTAGTGCCAATCGGTTTATTGTTGTTGGAACTCACAATTTCTTCACTAAGGTCATCAACATCTGGTGGCAAATTTATAGAAACATATGTAAAATGAGGAACGTGACTACGAAGTTGTGGAGGAAACAAGCCCATACTACTGAACAACTTATTTTCCCAAAAGGTAACACGACGTGAAACTCGAAAATGTTGGTCAATAGGATCATAACAACGATAACCTTTATGTTCCATACCATATCCTAGAAAACAACACAAACTAGAATGATGCTGTAACTTTGTATGTTCACGAGGTTGAAGAACAAAACGCACACTCTCAAACTCCTTAAGCAAGTGATAATCAGGAACTTTCCTATAGAGCAACTCATAGGGCAACTTACAGAATAGAAGCAGAAAGAAGAAGGGTCCGAACAGTATCTAAGATATGGCGATGCTTACGCTCAGCACGCCCATTTTGTTGAGAAGTGCTAGGTCAAGAGCGATTGGGGAATCGTGCCAATTTGTTTTAAAGTAGCAAGAAAAGAGGATTCTCTATACTTCATGGCATTATAAGATAGAAATATTTTAATTGAACAAGAAAATTGAGTCTGAACTATTTTTTGAAATTCAATACAAATTTGTGGAGGTTCAAATAGATTTTGCATAAGATAAAGCCATGTGTAGCAAGAGTAGTCATCAATAAAAATAACAAAATAACATTGTTGCGAAAGTTGTCTCCAAGAATCTTCAAATCGGTGTTTTTCGAGCTCAGTCCAACGTACCTTTCTCTACCAACAACCAAACCAACTAGCTCCGATCCACAACTAATATAATTCACCTCGGTTGCTATTCAATCTTACCCACATAGGATAAGAGATGATGATGACTTGTGGCCACAAAGGCAAAGAAAAAACACCACAAAAGTAGGCTATAAAGGAACCATCAACTACACAAAGTAAACAAGCGTTTTGGACACTTTTAGGAGTCGTTTTTCACACATCAAAGGGGGCAGCTGAGTTTCTCTTATTTTTCTCACAAACCATACCAATCATACTAAAAAGTGGCTAGGGTTATTGCTTTAGATGTGGTCTAGAGTTAGGCTTTAAGTTGGACTTCTAATAGATTTAAATGGGCTAAGATTCAAGCCATCCAATAAGGAATACGATTGTGCCGGGTGGAGTTTATCGACTTGGTTGTTGGACTTATTTCATTCATAGACCTATGCGTATAAAATAATCAATCCACGTTAACATCATAATCCGGGATTTATTGGGTATAAAAAACCCAACAAACATGATCCCCTATAGTAGGAGTAGGAGTAGGAGTAGGGCCGCAAACATCAAAATGAACCAAGTCAAAAGGTGTTGAAGAAGTAGAATCACTATCATTAAAAGTTAAATGGGACAGTTTTCTAAGTTGACAAGATATACAATCTAAAGATTCTTGTTTTATCGAACCTAAATGACTACTAGAAATTAAAGAACGTAGACGAGATATGGAGACATGACCAAGGTGATAATGCCAAGTTCTGAGAGTAGAGGGCGGAGTATGAAAGGAAGTTGCAGTAGACATGTTGACCGGCAGATGCAGTGAAGTGAGCTCAAACAGGTGACCAACCTTATGGGAAGTCCCAACGACCTGACCCATCTGCGGATCCTGCACCACAACACCACGATGAGTAAAAAGTAACTCCAGGCCTAGATTGCAGAGTTGTCCAACAGATAACTAGATTAAAGACAATTTTGGAACAAAAATTGTATCAGTGACAAACGTCTGAGGAGTAGAGATTGAACCACTATGACTGACATGCAAATGAGAACCATCGATGGCGTAAATAGTGGGTGGATGAGGTAATTCAGTTGTAGAAGTGAAAAGAGATGAATCTGAAGTCATGACAACAGGCAAAGTCAAGATACCAAGAACGGTTACCTGAGAGGGTGGTGGATAGAGCAGGAGAGAGGTTAGCCTTAGGTAGAACCTGAAGTATAAGGGCTTCAACCTCAGCTGGAGAGAGAGATGCAGTGGAACAGACGGGACCATGGATAAACTCTCTGAAGATTCTGTGTGAGCTGTAGTAGCAGTCTTCTGGAGGCATTTTCGGCACTCGTTGGCTTTATGACCCCACTTCTTACAAAAATAGCACTGGACAGTATGACCAATATGCCCTGACTTAGGGCAGTATGACCAATATGCCCTGACTTAGGGCAGTATGACCAATATGTCCTGACTTAGGGAGCAGAAGGAGCAGCCAAACGGGCTCTGAAATAGGCAGCTTCCTAGTAGAAAATCGAATCTCCTCCGAGATTAGCTTGCTCAGCACAATATCTAAAGAAGGAAAAGGAGAATGATTTAGCAAAGAAGCTTGAGCACCCTCAAAATCATCTCTAATAGCCATCAGAAATTGAATTATTAAGTACATACCATCACGATAGGTCACAAACTTCTTCACATCACCAAGGGCAGTCAGTTCTGGCTCGAAAGTTGATCCCAGAGGTAATTCATCTGAGAAAAGAAATCCGTAGTAGACTAACCTATTTCCTTCGCATTTGATGAAGTTGTGTAGCGAACTGTTACTGTTGAGCAAGATTAGCTGAGTTGTACCTTTGCGCCAGTAGATTCCACACATCTTTAGCATTATCAAGCCTTCCAAAAGTGTTGCCAATGGAGACCAAACATGTATTGGAGAACCACGAAATGATTCTGAAATGCGCACTTTCCCAAAGGGCAAGACGATTGTCAAATTTCTTTTGGTCCTCCATTTCTCCTTTTTCAGGTTTGTGCTTAGAACCAGTAACAAATCCCCAGAGACGATGTCCACGGAGCCACATACGCACAGCATTAGACCATGCGTTGTAGTTTGAGCCATCAAGGACAACAGAAATTGGTTGCGGGACCTCTTTAATGTTAGACAAACTTTGAGCCATGATTTTTTTATCTCTAAACAATGCTCAAATAGGTGGAAGAATGCCAGAAACAACAAGAGAAGCCAAGAAAAATACTAGGGCCCCGTTTGGTAGCCATTTTCTTCAAAATGAATTTTTTTCTCTCTTCTTTTCAACCATACATTTTTTATTAAAATAATATTACACGTAAATCAAAAAAATTTCTTTATTTTTCAACCACACATTTCACATCAATTTACCATTCTAAAATGCATTTTTACATAAAAATGCATATCAAACACCCCCTAGATCTTGGAATGTATTCTAATACAAGAAAATCCCAAATCTTCAGAGGAGATAATCAATTTAACACTGTAGATCAGGATTCTGATGTCAGATTTGAGAAATCTGAGACAGAAACTCTGAGCTGCGTATTGGAGAGACAGAAACTTCAAGCTTCCGAAAGTGATGATACAGGAAAACCTTGCTTAAAGAAATAAATAAAGAAGACTTGGAGAAAAGAAAGAAAATGTATGGAGAGAAATTGTATTTCTGTCTGTGTTCTACAATGTACAGGAGCAGCCTTTATATAGTAAAGAGAGGCTGACTGAAACAGGTAATACAATAATTAAAGAACCAATTGGTATCTAATTACAATCAATCAGTGTAAATCAAGAATATACAGAACAAGTCATGAATCAATCAATGATATCTTGAAATCTTGGAATATATTGTAACAAATATTAATAGTTTGATTCCTTACGGACAAAAGCCACAATATTTGGCAGTCGAAGTGGGTGGCGGGGTTCATAATTAATCTTCTGGTATCCACAAAGTATCTGCGGAGCGATGAAGGGGGAAGAGAACATGAGTGAAGTTTAAAAGTCTTATTTATTTGTCTGGTTTCTAAGCAAAATGAGAGGGCAATGAAGAGACGTGAGCGTATATTTAAAGTATATATAATTAAACATTACTCACCGTCCAATTTTTAAAATTCTAAAGACATTAGACTTTATTTTATTGTCTAGAAAATGAAAGCGTCAATTTATTGGCCTCTGGAAAAATATTACCTTTCCAGGAATGCTGGTTAACCATAAAACTCTATCTGGAAGCCAGAACAAGAAGAAAATAGAGAATTTGGAAAAGAGTAATGGGTCCATAACAGAGCTTTATCTGTAAGAGGAAGAGAGATGAAATTGAAAACAGAGGAGGAGTTTCTTAAAAATACATGTACTTCATCTTATGTTCGTTGATTTTTAATGTATTTAAGGAAATTTTTAAGTTTGAATTTCAGTATTATAAAAGGAGATTAAGTCATATGATGAGCAAAATTATTTTCTTTAAGTTTCAATTTGTCCTATCCTCTTTTCTTTTGCTTCTCATAGCCTAAAGCTTTTCATGGATTTGGTATTCTAGCTCAAGGTGTTCTGATCACTTGCTGCATTCAATGCTTGCAGGTTCTACTCTGTGGAGAAATAGTTAACGGGTGCCTTCCTGATTATTCAAGCTGAGGGAGTTCTTCAGTCAGGTTTTCTCAATTAAGAAATGAGTGAACGCTTATTTCTTATTTTGGAGCCTGACTGAGAACAAAAAGCTTTCCGGTTGGCATCTGGAAAGTAAATAGCTTTTTCTTGGCACTCATTTTCATTTGTTTTCTTGGGTACTTATCTCATTAGTTTGAATATCAATAAATGGAAAAAAATATGGAAAATGCTAAAATGGGCCAATTGAAGAACTATGAACAAGTTCATTATAGTTCTGCAGAGGCTAGAAATCAGGGGCTTGGTTCTGTGAACCAATGGGCTTTTCAGGATCCATACAATTCGATTAAAACTTATATAAGACCACCCGATCTCAATTTACCAGTTGGAGCTAGAGCTGATCTCAATTTACCAGTTGTCGCTAGACCTGTTCTCAACTATTCTATTCAGACTGGTGAGGAGTTTGCTCTTGAATTTATGCGGGAAAGGGTGAATCCAATGCAGCACATTGTTCCAAATTCCTCTAATGAGCCTAATAATGCACCAGTGTATATGGATGTAAAGGGAACGCTTGGAATATTTCATACAGTTTCTGATAGTGGACTTGATACTTCCACTATCCCCTCTGTAGAAAAGAGGAGAATCCAAAATCCGGAGAGCAATGCCTCCTCTCTAAATGGAGAAAAGGTTTATGGTCAGCCCTTTCAGCCTGTGAATCAAACCTCATCTGAAAGTAAGAGTAGTCACGGTTTTCAAAGTCATACTTCTTCAAGGGCTTCTGGTAGCTCATCAACAATTGTAAAGATTCTCTGCAGTTTTGGTGGTAAAATTTTGCCTCGTCCAAAAGATGGAAAGCTTCGGTATGTTGGAGGTGAATCACGTATTGTCCGGATAAGCAGGGATATTTCTTGGGAGGAGCTTGTGCAGAAAACATGGATAATATATAATCAACCTCATACAATCAAATATCAGCTTCCTGATGAGGATCTTGATGCATTGGTGTCAGTCTCCTGTGAAGAGGACCTGCACAATATGATGGAGGAATTTTATGTACTTGAAGATGGTGGATTCCAGAAACTCCGGATATTTCTTATTTCAAATGACGACTTAAATGATTCTCAGCTTGGTCTCGAGAATGTAGAAAGTGATTCCGAGCTTCAATATGTTGTTGCCGTGAATGGCATGGACTTTGGATCCAGAAGAAGCTCCATCGCTATGGAGAACACTTCAGGAATCAACTTGGAGGAGTTACTGAGTTTAAGTGTTGAGCAGGAGACCGGTCAAATTGCAGTTGGCTTAGCAGTGGCTGGTTCTGTGCATCGAGAAGTTGGTATTCCAAACCAATCTTCTCAGATGATGCTACCAACTTCATCACCTGCTTTTGAGTCCAATCCACGTGGTTATCCGGTGCAAACAATGAATCACGGACAGAGTGAATTGCACACTTTCCACCAGATAGACTGCTTCCCAGATGTGGGTTACAAAAATAATATCCCACCAGCTGTTCTAGTGCAACATAATTATGGTTCTCATCCATCAAATCATGTGCCAGTTGCTGAAAACTTGATTCCACATTCTATTTATGGGCACATGACTTCAAAAGGGGCTATGGCTGTGGGGCAGCCACATGGTAGCTTGAAAGCAAAGGTTCCAGAAGTGTCAATATCAAAGACGACGGTTAAAAATGAAACTACAATCCCTAAGAAGGTTGAGTTTTTTAAGGAACATTCTCTGGAAAAGGAATTGCTTCTGAAGGATGCAAAGATGACAGAAGAGAACACAATCCAGAAAATCAGTGAGTCTAATAGGATGCAGACAGTCAAAAATGAGAAGATTATCTCTTCACATCAATATGAAAGTTCATCTTTAAATGCCATAACACGAGAGGATGCATCCATCATTAGTGCTGCAGAAGACACAGGAACTCGTGTTGTTCAAACAACAGGTAGTGAGAAGAGCCAGGATTCTATGAGTAGTTCAGTTCCTCTGGATACTGTCAAGGAAGGAAATATGCAAAAGATTGATGTGGAAAACCAGTTTTATAAATCTGGTAAAGCATTTATGCCTGTCCATGGTGACTCGGGGGATTATTCAAATGATTTCAACCACGATGCAGAGGTGCTTCCTCAGAGCCTTTTTCGTTCAGAAAGAATTCCCAGAGAACAGGCAGGGCTTAATCGTTTGTCCAAGTCTGATGATCATTCTGGTTCCCAGTTCCTAATGACTCATGCCCGATCAGATGTTTCCCAACAGATGACTGAATCAATTGACAAGTTAACTGATTGGAATGTGGATTCTCAGAATGAAGAATTTCTTGCTTCTGCAAAATCTGTGCTTACGAACGAACCTGCTATTGAAGAGAAGAGTGAATTTAAGAAGTCAATCACAGTTACTGATTACATTGGTGCAAAGAATTCCAGTGTTCATGATGAAAATCTCAAGTCAAATCTTTACAAGCCTGACCGAAATGCTGTAGTACTTCCTGATAGGGATTCTTCTGCGTCCAATTTCCCTATGACTGGCCGAAGTTCTGAAAATCCCCAAGATGAATCTGCTTCTAACCTTACTAAGCTTCACTGGGGAAAGATAAGTGGAAAAACCTTCGAGGAGCCAATACAGCCTCCGACTGAAGAAGCAAATCCTGCTGTAACTTCTTGCCAAGGAAAACCCTCTGTTGGCGACAGCAATTCAGAACAAGCAAACATTCTTATTGATATTAATGATCGTTTTCCTCGAGATTTCTTGCCTGATATATTTTCTGAGGCTAGAGTTGTAGATAGCTCAGCAGGTTTTTCTCCACTGCGGAGGGATGGAAATGGTTTGAGTTTAAACGTGGAACATGAACCTAAGCACTGGTCATTCTTTCAGAAGTTAGCAAAAAATGATTTTGCAAGAAAAGACAAGTCCCTCATGGATCAGGATCATCTTAGTTTGTCATCTACTCATGCCAATATTGGAGAAGTCGAGTCCATTGAAAATAGTTATCGACTTTCTAGAGCTAGTGGAAATGCAATGGATCACATTGATTCCTGTAGCAATTTTGAGGATGATACTCAGCAGCAACCAAGTAGCATTATCAGACCAGACACCATGAAGTTGCCTTCTGATTATGATCCTCCCCAGACCTCTGGCGTTCCAATTCTGCAATTTGATGGTCAAATGGATTCGAGGATACCTGAATCTGAGTATCAGGTATTTTTCCCTTAGGCAAACTTGAGGAATGTGCTTTGGTTTATCTGTAATTTCTAAATCTTCTTTTATCACTTTAAGGATGAGAAGGAAGAAGCACCGCGTACCAAGTTACCTCTTGTTGACATCTCCCTAAGAGATTTTGATCTCCATATGCTGCAGGTATGATGCCACCTAATCAGGAAAAATTAACTAATATGTTCCAAACATGTAAACCGATGTTGGCATTTATGTATTGTCGTTTCCTTAGGAAATTCCCTTACAATTTAGCAACGGTATTAAGAAACAAGAAAAATGATGAGAAAAAGTATCTTTGTGGCAAAAACGTCCTCTCTATTCTATACAATATAGACATAATGCTTTCTTTCTGAAAAACTTAACTAGCTCAGAGCAGATAAATATTGTAGTAGTGTAGTTGCCACTTATAACTTTTTCTCACTGCTAAAAGTCATTACAATTTCCATTATGATGGAAATCCACTAGCTATCATAGTAACTAGACTCTCCACCCTTGACAAGATGGTGAAATTCTCTTCAAGAACATCAAACCACCAAACTCAACTTTAAAATGTGCTCTGGTACATATACTTTGATATTCACCTCACCTTACCTCATCCTTGTAGTTTCATTTTTTTTACCATGTAGTTTCATGCATATGAATATTATCATCTACCCTTTAAAACAATTGCCTTTACATTATAGCTACCGCTGATCATTATTGTTGCATTTTCTGTGCCACCTCTCACTTTGTTATATTATCTACATCGCTGCCACAAACCTGCCAATGAAATGCTTGTAGGATAGTTCATTTTGAAATTTGATGAAATATTATCAGATCATATTGGACCGTTTCAGCCACTTACTGTGGACCCTTCTTTACATTACAGATTATAAAGAATAAGGATCTTGAAGAGTTGAGGGAATTAGGTTCTGGAACCTATGGGACTGTTTATCACGGGAAGTGGAAGGGTTCTGATGTTGCTATCAAAAGAATAAAGAAGAGTTGTTTCACGGGTCGCTCATCAGAGCAGGAGCGACTGGTCAGTTTGTCTGTAGATTGTATTGAAAATTCTCTCTCTCTCTCCCTCTCTCTCGATTCATGATAGTCAACTTGTATTAATTTTCTGTAGGCTGTGGAGTTTTGGCGCGAAGCTGAAATTCTTTCAAAGCTTCACCATCCCAATGTAGTAGCGTTTTATGGTGTAGTGCAAGATGGCCCTGGAGGAACACTTGCAACGGTCGCAGAATATATGGTGAATGGTTCCCTTAGGCATGTTTTAATTTGCAAGGACAGGTACTATAATGTTATAGATATACTTTTACATCTGATAATTTACTCACTTGCTACTTTTGAGACTATCAAGTGCTTCCTTTTCTGTATTTCCCAGTTTCACTTTTAAATATTCAGGCATCTGGATCGTCGCAAGCGGCTCATAATTGCAATGGATGCGGCTTTTGGAATGGAATATCTGCATTCAAGGAATATAGTGCACTTTGATTTGAAATGTGACAACTTGCTTGTCAACTTGAAGGATCCTTCCCGACCCATATGCAAGGTAACTAAGAGGATATGCCCTTTTCCTTCAATTAAGGGAACATCTAAATGTGTGATAATAAATACTTCGATTAGCATTGTTAAGTTGATCGGATGCATTGGTAAATGTTCAAATAATGTAGCAGTGGCACAATATCACAGAGATGCAAAATGCTTTACCTTCCTGCAGGAAAAAGGATTTTATAATACCTAGATATGAAAAATGAAATGAAGCAAAAAAAGGTCATGGTTAGTGTTGAATCCAACAAATAATTAGCATTTTATTTTACTCATTGTTCAGGTGGGTGATTTTGGATTGTCAAAAATCAAAAGAAATACATTGGTTACTAGTGGTGTCAGGGGAACCCTTCCATGGATGGCTCCAGAGTTACTAAATGGTGGCAGTAGTAAGGTTTCTGAGAAGGTAAAATTTTGCACATTATCTTCCGTTTTTTTATTACATAGAGGGGAGGATGTGAAGTTAAGTGATTGATGCTAGTAGACAATATTCCTATGAGATGTTCGAACTTTATCTCCAGCGAGATGGCCCTTCTTATCCAGACTACTTTTCTGAATATTTCAAGGCATGTGTGATTTGCTCTTTCTGCCATTGATGTGTATTTAGCGGCATAAAATTTGTCAGCCATATAGTTCTCTTTTCTCGTCTTCTATTACCAAATTTCATAAGGAGTCTCTGAATCATGAGTTTCCTAGAGAAAGGGAAACCATATTGTTAGATATCTGAGGCCCTTCATACAAAGATGAGATGAAAATCTACTCCAGGAAGATGGTTTCTTCTAATATTGGTTACGGCTTTCATTTTGCAGGTTGATGTCTTCTCCTTTGGGATTGTACTTTGGGAAATTCTTACTGGTGAAGAACCCTATGCCAATATGCATTATGGAGCTATCATAGGTTTGTTCCTTCTTGGCTTTTTCATCAAATATCTGTCATGTCCTGTTATTCTCTTAATCTTCCTTTCTGTTTCTTAATTGCACTTTGATCCCAGTTTCTAAATTGGAAAAGCCTATGGCTTCTGCCTTCTGCATCAATTCAACTCTTCATAAACTATGAATAGTAGTTACAGACTGGAAATTACTGACCAAAAATTACTAAATAAAGCTCGTAACCAGCATATCGAAGTCATAATAGTTTTCCACTGAAATTATTAAAATTCTGCACGTGAATTCATTTGTTGCAAACTATCATCTTATCAACGATAGAATGTAAAAAAAATAAAAAAATAGAAACCAAAATGAACATTAATCACAAGAAATCTAAAATGTCTCTCTTTCTTGTGTGAAGGTGGAATAGTAAATAACACATTGAGGCCACCCGTGCCAAGCTTCTGTGATCCCGAATGGAGATTACTTATGGAGCAATGTTGGGCTCCAGATCCAATGCTTCGTCCATCCTTCACTGAAATTGCTAGACGCTTGCGTAAAATGTCTGCTGCGAGCATAACTAGACCACAAGGTCTTGCAACACAGACTCAGTTATCCAAATGAAGACATGATATAAGCACACGTGTCTATATATAAATTGCTTTAGTTTCTTAAGATGACTGGCATACTCTGTACAGTATCGTGTATCATGCACACGAGAGATTGAGTTCTCATCACGATCGTGCATTGATGGATTTGTGTATAAGATAATGATTTTGAACATATGGTTTGGTGCAATAAATGAAAAATTATTACATTTGTTGCAAGCCTATAGTTGCTTCGAGGTCATGGCGTAATGATTTGAGTTGAGATTATAATGTGGATATATTATTTATTGATTTATTATTATGGTAAAATAATTTTTCCTTTCTCAAAACTAAAAGATAGGGT